TCACACTGGTGTTCCTGTACCTTGTTCATGACTTCTTCCTCAAGAAGGATGGAATCCAAAGTCCTATAAATCTAGCCAGGGTTGTTGTCCTGAATAGTGTGGACAGAGCAGTGGTCTCAAAAGAAAGAGGGAGAAACACTCAGAGCTACTAGCATGGGCGAGCCCTGGAGACCAGGAGCCAGCAAAGACCAACAGCACAAAGCAGCTCCCCGGAGATGGACCCACAGTTTGTGTCTACCACAGACCAGCATCGGACGGCAACAGCCAGCAGTGACAATGTTAGCAGCTGGCATCCAGCGGTACCTGGTGCCATGTGGTGACAGAGAACACCATTGCCAGTCCATGATTCCCATCTGAACGGAGCCAAAGAACCCCAGGCAGACTCTGCAGTGGCACAACATTGTGCATTCCCAACCAGAGCCCACCCGGTCTCTTAGTAACGAGGTAATTCCCTGCTGCTCCTTAAAGCACTGTCAGAAGCCCAAGAGCACAGCCAAAGTGTCTCAAACAGGAGAATTTTATGCGCAATCCCCTCTTCAAAGTCAAAATTTTTCAGCCCAAGACAGGGTAAAATGAAGCTCACCAAAAGAAAATCTTAGAGTTGCTACTGTGAGTGGCCTTTGGGGTGGTCAGGAAAAGGTGTCCTGGAAATGCGCCTCCTAATGTGAAAACAACTGGAGAAAACTAGGGCTTTTATCAGCATCTCGTTTAGAGAAATGCAGATTCAGCATGGATAATTACAGAAAGAAGTCAAAAGACAAAAAACAAAATGAAAAGCAGCTTGAGACTGTTCAGCCATGAAGTGTAAGCCTGAATATTTAAGTTTCACCCACTCCTGCACAGTATATATGACCAGCATTTTATTGTGTAAACCTGTAACTTTGCCTTTATGGTAAAAATAAAATCGTTTTCTTTAAACCTGTTTCCTTTTCTGTAAAATGAGGGAGTCGAACAGTGTGATTGCATCTGCTCATTTCAATTCTAAAAATCAACAGTTAATGGAATATACTTGCTACATATACTATGGCTACCCAAGTGGACAGTTTTAAGAGATCATGTTCAAATTACTGTCAAGCCACTTTTAGACACTCATTAGCAAGCAGGACCTGGAACAACAGAACCTATTAATTCCCAGCTACCATCAGTATGCAAGCCTCCAAGAAAAATGATAGAAGCAAACAGTCTTGATTATTAGACACAGGGTTCCCATACCAATAGGTTGGGAATACGGGCCAGAATGCTGATGGGCCTGAGAGGGTTCACTCCATTCCCATCACACAGCGGTACTCACAGAATTAATTTCACTTAAGAATCAAAGAGGAGCGTTTACATTCGATTTATGTGATTTCCTGGCTGCCGGTCTTGGGAAGCAGGAGCTGTATGAACAGACCCTTGGAGTGACCATGAAGGCAGAGGGATGACAGTTCTTGTTAAGCTCCACACTGCAATGGTATGTCTTCCTAGAAACACAGGATTAAGAAAGACTTAAGATCAGATTCTTCTGTCCTGCACAATTATGTGTCGCTTTTGCCTGTGTGGGCATTTCCAGCACACAACTCTTGTCTACCCAGCAACAGAGACTTTTACAAGCAGCTGAAGAGCTATCATGATGGCAGCTCTAAAGGGGAGATAAATGATGGGACATTTTGGCTCGAGGCCATATTTCATTGTGGGCTCAGAGAAGGAGAGACAAGAGCAGCCTGTGGAGGTACCTAAAAATATCCCCATGCTACAAAATTCTCAAAATAAAAAGAAGACGCAATTCAAAATGGTCAGAAATTTTTGACAGCCTTCACAGTGTACCTTAACAGTAAAAATTCAACTGTTCCCAAAAACCCTTGTTAACGGTAAGCAAAGTATCCCCAACAAACGTGACCAGGTTCCAAAGATCACGTTCACACTATTTCATGCAATAAATGAGTAGGAGTCAAGCAACACAACTTTGGTTTATTGAAATATTACAATATAAAGAATCTGTTGTAGAGAAGGTGAACCATAAATGCTAGCTCCTTGGGAAAGTACAAGCCTAAACAGTAACCTTGGAGACTTTATGGACAGCATGCCATGATCATGAAATAATGCATTACTGATAAATCCAATTTTCAAGCAGAGTCCACATCTGTAGTTTCAGTTCTAAGCTATAGTTTTAGTTCTTCTTCTGTGCTATTTGACATACACCATATTTCTAAATCTCTGTCCATGGTTCCGAAGAGAGTGACTGAAACTAGAAACTTAGAGTCAAGGTGGGACAGCGGTAAGCACAGCTGCCAGGGGCAGAAATCATGCTTGATGTTAACAGTCACCAGAATTGTTCGTCACCCAACAATGGTTCTCAAACTGTAGTAAGCATAAGAATCAACCAGTGAGCCTGGTAAAAATGGTGCCACTCTATGCTAATGCCTATTCTTAATCAAGGCCTGGAAAACTGCATTTCAGCCATCACCTGGGGATTTTGTAAATATGTTCACTCCTGGACTATATTAGAAAGATCATTCCCCAAGTAGATGATTGCTCCTGTAGGAATGTCATCTACTAAAATGGGAGTCGTAGTGTCTTCAAGTCAATGAGATTGTCTAAACGGATTTCAGGTGCAGAAAGGTGCTAGCTCTGTGTGGGACAGATTTTCATAATGGAGTGGCTTAGGTGGGGACCTGCTGTAATGATTCTGAATGTGATTGATGTCACAGCTGATAAAGCTGAACTGCGCTCACTAATGTACTGCGCTCTGGGAGGTTCTTCATGCTGGAGGCTGGGACAGCTGCCCAGACTCTGGGATTTTAATGAAGACAGGCATGGGCCTTTAATTCCACCCCGAGCCCAAATGTGCAAAACGGTTAGCACTGAGTCTTTTATCCATAGCCGGAACGGTGATGCTATTCTAATATAATTTCTTTTCTAATGTTATATTAAAAATGATTGATGTCAAAGGAAGCCCTTGCCATGGTGGGTGACCAAGTGCAAAAGTCACAGTTGGCCAGGACGTGGTCTCAAAGAGTTTGCATTCCAATTCACTCCCTTGCGTTCAGAACATGTGAGCCTAAACCCAATTTGCACTTCCTGAAAGATGCTCTTTACCCAGTACTTGGCTCTCGGCACTGAGGTCTGATTACCTTTTTCTAAATCTTAATTGTAAATAAGACTCAGCTATCCAGTCACCCAGAGGTTGCCGTAGAGGACTTTATTGAATTCTTAATGGTCCAAGTTATTTCCTAAAAGGAGAACCTTCTTTTGGAAAGTCATTCATGATGTATTTACTGTCTATAAACTGGTCAGGTTTTAAACACCATGCCTTCCAGAATACAGACAAAAGGAAATTAAAGAGGTAAATCTAATATGCCAAATTTTGCTGAGTACAAACATCATAATATGCAAACCTGATGCATTTCATAGCCTGAGTGGCATCCCGTGAAACCCCAGTGCTCAGAAAGCTCCCCAAGCCACAGACCCAGGCTATCAGCCTTCCAAAACACCTGCACGCTCGGTCTAAAATTAGACTATTGAAATTCTCCCCAGATTGTCACTTTTCTTTATTACACACAGATTTTTCTCCTCCCCCCATCAAGCCTCCTTTAAATGAGTCAAGAGTGCCACCAAGCGGCAACAGATCACACTCCTAAATGCAGTTTGATTGTCCTTTTAAAAAAAAACAGATTTTACTTTTGCCAGCCGCACTCAGACTTTGAAGAGAGGTTCATTCACATGGATTAAAACACGCACTTCAGATACATGAGTTATGGCTGTTTTTCAAAGTATATTTTGTTAGGTTCATAAGCAATTTTGCTATAATAACTTTTTAAATAGAAATTAGATGCATGGCTAATAGCAACTGTAAAAAAAAAGAAGTGCTAATAAAAAGAAAAACCCAATATCCAAACATTACTGGCTACACAGCGATTCATGGTATGGAAAGGCACATAGCTTCTGGTAGAAAGTTTCCAAACACACAATGTTATTATTATTTCTGTCCTGGTATTTCAAGTATACCAGGTCAAAGACAAAGAGCCAAGGCTTTTTAAAAATAAGGTTTAATACCCGCAGGTTGATTTCTAACCTCAGCTCAGCAGTGAGGACCGATGAAGCATTCACATCCCTCTACCTTCTCAAAGGATTATGAAATCTTACAAGAAGAAAATCCACAGTAGTCACGTAATTCTACTTCAGTGATTAGTTCTGCTTTTCTGTCCTTTTATTCCCTCATTAAATGCGTGTATCCTGAGCAGCAGCTGTGCCAAGGAGACCTCCGAGAAAAAAGGAGTCGCACAGTGGTTGTGCTAGTGAGGTTCACACAACTGGGTCCCCCATTCTGATGAGCTTGGTGGAGGCTGCAAGCTGCAGAGCCTGAGACAAGGGTATTTACAATCACGTATTATGTTACACGGGGGGCTTTTTCTACAGCTCCTCAAATGATCTCACACTGACAGTTTCACTAATAGTCACAAATGCTTTGACCATGCCGGGCAGCTCCGAGGACTGTTCATCGCTGTTCCTGTATACCGCTCCAGATGTGAGTAGGGGTTACCTAACGACGTCATCAGAAGGTGTGTTGGGGTCAAAATGGACATCAAAATCTCTGAACTCTCTAAAGCAGACTCTTCAAAGGAAGCCAGTGCTCCCTGGGATGAAGACATTGAAATTAGCGTGGTGTTTCCAGGAAGGTCAGCGGCACAGGAGGTTCCACAGTAACTACAGCAGTGCTGACACAGCTCGGGACTCTTCTCCAAGTTTGGAATTTCTCTTACAGGAAGCATAAGAGTCTGACTGCATGTGCAGCCCAGCGTGGATTGCGCAGTGTCTATCACTTGCATGGCACTTGCATGGTAACCTCAAGGAACGAAGACTAGGAACTTAGGACTCTGGGAAGCCAAGCCAGCACCTCCCCTCCCTGCAAGCGGAGGCAGGGTGGCAGCCTGCAGCCCTTCCAGGGGGAGAACTAGCAGTGTCTCCTGAGATCCACGCCATGCTGGAACTTAGGACTCTGGGAAGCCAAGCCAGCACCTCCCTTCCCTGGTAAGCGGTGGTAGTTTAGCCCACTGCAGCCCTTCCAGGGGGAGAACTAGCAGTGTCTCCTGAGATCCACACCATGCTGGAACTTAGGACTCTGGGAAGCCAAGCCAGCACCTCCCCTCCCTGCAAGCGAAGGCAGGGTGGCAGCCTGCAGCCCTTCCAGGGGGAGAACTAGCAGTGTCTCCTGAGATCCACGCCATGCTGGAACTTAGGACTCTGGGAAGCCAAGCCAGCACCTCCCCTCCCTGGTAAGCGGCGGTAGTTTAGCCCACTGCAGCCCTTCCAGGGGGAGAACTAGCAGTGTCTCCTGAGATCCACACCATGCTGGAGCTTAGGACTCTGGGAAGCCAAGCCAGCACCTCCCCCTCCCTGCAAGCGGAGGCAGGGTGGCAGCCTGCAGCCCTTCCAGGGGGAGAACTAGCAGTGTCTCCTGAGATCCACGCCATGCTGGAACTTAGGACTCTGGGAAGCCAAGCCAGCACCTCCCCTCCCTGGTAAGCGGCGGTAGCTTAGCCCACGGCAGCCCTTCCAGGGGGAGAACTAGCAGTGTCTCCTGAGATCCACGCCATGCTGGAACTTAGGACTCTGGGAAGCCAAGCCAGCACCTCCCCTCCCTGGTAAGCGGCGGTAGTTTAGCCCACTGCAGCCCTTCCAGGGGGAGAAGTAGCAGTGTCTCCTGAGATCCACACCATGCTGGAGCTTAGGACTCTGGGAAGCCAAGCCTACGTCTCCCCTCCCTGTAAGCCGAGGCAGGGTGGCAGCCTGCAGCCCTTCCAGGGGGAGAACTAGCAGTGTCTCCTGAGATCCACACCATGCTGGAACTTAGGACTCTGGGAAGCCAAGCCAGCACCTCCCCTCCCTGGTAAGCGGCCGTAGTTTAGCCCACTGCAGCCCTTCCAGGGGGAGAACTAGCAGTGTCTCCTGAGATCCACACCATGCTGGAACTTAGGACTCTGGGAAGCCAAGCCAGCACCTCCCCTCCCTGGTAAGCGGCCGTAGTTTAGCCCACTGCAGCCCTTCCAGGGGGAGAACTAGCAGTGTCTCCTGAGATCCTAGCCCTGTTGGAGCTTAGGTCTCTGGGAAGCCAAGCCAGCATCTCCCCTCCCTGTGAGTGGAGACAGGGTGGCAGCCTGCAGCCCTTCCAGGGGGAGATCTAGCAGTGTCTCCTGAGATCCACGCCATGTTGGAGCTTATCTCAATCTCTCCCTTATTCTTTAAAAAAATTATTTAGTTATTTCTTATGTTTTTTAAATAAGGGGAAAAATTTTTTTAATTAGCATATATTATAGTAACTCTTTTTGATTTACTGTTAACTTGTTTTGAAGTCCTGTAATACCCCCACGATCTTGTTTTGACTGATTAGACTCTGTTCCATTCTATATGATAGTATCAAGTTTGAGGGTATAAGCACCTACTTTGAAGGCAATAAGATTCACTAAGATGCCCATTCTGGTTTGACTGTTGTCTCCTTTGGAAGTCCTGTAATGTTTACAATGCCTAAGTTTTATTGGTCTTGTTCTCTACTGTTTTGTCCAACTTTATAATATCTAATGAGATAGACTATTCTTTTTAAGGAAATAAGAGACAATTTTGATAACCATTGTTGATAACCTTGTACTCTGTTCTACATCATGTGCTATGTCTATCCTTGGTTTTGAGTGGCAGCTTTGTTTTCCATATTTGACTATATTCTCTTCCCCCCAAAAAAGTAATAAGGACTAGGAGTAATAAAATCCAAAATGTGTAAATTTTGTTGTAAAAAAGAGAAGGAAAAAAAAAAAAGAGCTCTATGGATATAACAGCAATTGTGTTTAGGGGTGTTAAATAGCTGACTATATTAATGTTTTTGGATCATTGAACACAGCTGTTTGCAGTCTCTCTGTTTGAATGTTCACTTTGTATTCTTTGATACTGTGATTTGAGCAACTATTTCCAAGATGATAATATGTAATCTATTAGCAGGTGATTTCTTACTATTATGTTTTTTTTTTGTAGTTCTGTATTACGTGTACCCTTACACCACTTTGTTTTGTTTTGTGTTTTTCTCTTTTTCCTCTTAAATAAAATTTAAAAAAAAAAAAAAAAAGGAACGAAGACTAGGCAAGACATTTATGGTTTAATGGGCACAAGGAGAAACACAGTACAGAAGCTCTGTTCCCAGCAGGCTGTGTGGCCACCGCCTTGGGTAACATGCTGAATCAAAGCTGGGGACTCACTGCTTCAAGTCCCAGGAAGAAAGAAAAACACTGACAAAGAGTGACGAGGTATTTTCTTGTCATCTAAAAGCGTCTTACATTTATTTTAAGAGTCTTTTGGGTGTTTGTTTGTTTTTGAGGATTTAAATTTTTTTATTTATACATTATTTTTATTCATTATATTTTAAAGAAGTTAGGAAAGGAGGGGGAAAAGAAAGATAAACAAAACAATGCACCTGAGTTTCAAAACAGATTAGCTGGATCATTGCAAAGTCAATACATTGTGTATTACGTTTGTATTTGTTCAGAGTACAAGATACAGGCATGATATCTTGTCCTCGAGGTATTAGCACAAAACATTCATTTTTTATGATTTTAAAAAGCAAAACAGAAAAAAAGGATAGAAATGATACAGAATTTCAAAAAATAGTAGGAAATTAACACTAGTTAATATATTGCATTCTTTTTAAGGAACTAAAAGAAGCTAGCTGCATTTACCTCTCTTGTGTGGACATGTATTTTTTCCTTCTCTTCTTTTCCCCCATCAACATTTGTCTTTTCTTTTGGTTTCTTCCCAATTCACAACATCTATTGTACATTTGCATCCTATTTATTTGTTCATTTTTTCACACTAGAGGGACCTTGCGGTGTTTACCCATATCGGTCTGATTAATTTCACCTACGGGTACAGTCTCCAGCTGTATCCATCTTCTAATCTTATTTCCGTGCTGAGTTTTTTACTGTATCACTTTATTGCATACATAAAAAATAAAATATAGCAAAATAAATTGAGGCAGTAACAATCATGCCACAATTGCTACCTAGTGGGTAGTAACTGTAAAACACCAAAGATTATTATATGCATCCCAATTGAAGAGGTATTAAAATGTTAAAAATGTATTTTGGAATCAGCGAGGTGCATGTTTCCTGCTCAGGCTCTAAATCGGTCCTCAGTAGAGTACAGCGGTTTTAACTCACTTACTTGGGTGCGAGGGGCCGTGTTTAACCAGCCCAGCAGATAAGAATATGCATCGTAGAGTCGGGGAGACCAGCAATTAAACACTGGCTCCACGTCTTACAAGTTCTGTGACCTTTGGGCCAGCTAACAAGTGGTTATGCGCTCTGAACCCGTACATTGAATTGGAGACCATAATTACCACTGCCTAAGTACTAGCTGAAATCATGTAGCTAACACACCTAGCGTGTAACAAACCGTGCCCTTGTACCTCGCAGTTCTGTTACATAAAATCACGATCTTATGCTGTGAAGCTGTGAATTGCAAAAAACCTTGTTTCTTCCCCTCCTCCAATGATAGACTCTTCAATGTCTTTCAGCTTAACCTTGTTCAAGGACTTGGATCCCACCACTACTAATAGAACAGTACTAAAATAAACAATTTAAAAACCAGAGTAAAGCCATGTTAAGAAACAGAAGGTCGCTTCCATGGAAATGGGAAGGGGACCAGGGACAGAGGAGGAGGAGAGCGAGGAGCTAAGGGGAGGAAGGTGATCAAGAGGCTGCGTGCACACATGCAGAGGCCACACCGAATTAATCCCACGCACTAACAAACACCTAAATTAGTGCTCTGGCCTAAAGTTACTCTAAATAGGTACAGATTCGTCAGGAAGCATAAGGAAACCTGACAGAAATTCACTTTCTGAATGCCTCCCTTATCTTTAAATATTCGAACACTGAGGAATAACGAAATTAATTCCTAATATATTCCTGCGATCTTAATCATAGCATTTCAAGCAGAACTTAGATACCATCAAATGAGCTGCCCCAGCCTGGAGAAGTAGGGACTGAAAGAAAAAGTGAGATTAGAAAACATGAAAGCCCGCCTTGCAGACAGCCTGGCCCCCAGAGGCCCGAGAAGGAGGCAGGACGGGGTGCCTGCCCCAGCTGGTGGCCGCCATCCAGGGGCTAAGGTTTCTGCTCCTTTGCTCCCAGGAAGGTGGAGCCAACTCAGCCACTGCCTGGAGCTGGGGACCTGTCTGGGGCACAGAAGGACAAACTCCATCGCACGTTGCCGTCTTCAAAACAGGTGCTCAGCTTACCAGATACAGGCCTGCAAACAGGTCAGTCAATACAAGCACTCTGTTCTTTCCATCGATTAATCGGATTAGGAGCCCAGTTATCTCAGCCATCCTGAGAGAGGACGGGGAATACATGTATTTTCCTTTTCCCCATCTCACTTGTTCTTTGGGGCAATTTCTTTCCCTTTTGCCATGTCTATCTATTGCACCTTTTTTCCTATCATCTTGCTTTTTCTTTTAATCTCTTTCAAATAAATAAATAAAAAGTCATTACTGTGGACAAATGCAAAAACTGACAAGTAAATAAAACTGGCAAGACTGATCAATTTAAAAAAGAAAGAAGGACACATGGCATCGCCAGGGGCACCTCTGGCCCTCCTGGAGGCCGGCCAGGCCGGATGTCCTGCGGCACAGAAGTCACTCCCAGGCCTCTCATGAGTAGATGAGAAAGTTTAAACCTGGCGATGTTCTCCCATTTCCCATGCCTGGGCACCACCGATAGCCTTCACCAGACAGATACAGACACAGATAATCATATAGAGGCAGAGAGAGAGCGCACCTGATGTTCTTCACCACTGGGATGAAAAATTGTTTTTGAAAATATATTTCTCAGCTTCTCAGCTGGGAACACTTTGTAGTCATTTCCACTTAAAAAGAGAGGAGGGAACCGTTAGTGCTCTGGGCAGGGTGAGCAAAGTGTTCAAGGAAACAAACCTTGGAAAGGTGCACAGTATTCACCCCCACTTCGCCAGTGGGCGTGGAGCTGTCTGCTTCGTTACTCATAAGCCCTGATTTCAGTTCGGATTCCCGCCTGCTAAACATCCAGACTGTTCCGAGCCCTGTGGGCTCCGGTAAGTGACAGCACATGTGGATGGCAGTGCTCAAAGTCCCCCCTTTCCAGGGAGCACTGAAGCTACCATTCCTTTGACGTCAGGGATTAATCAACCTTTGCTGAATGACCATGTGGCCCGTAATACAATCCGATGCTCAGGTAATGAAAAGGCCCATCTGTGTGCCCAGAGGTGACAGGCTCTCAGTGCTGATCCGTGTGAACCTGGATGCTGTAATGAGGTCAAACACGGTAATAAAGCAGTTTTCCAGTTAACAGAGCTCACATGCTAAAGTCTCAGGGCCTTCTAAATCATTTTCATAGTTTAAAACCCAAGATACAAAATCAGGCACCAAAGTAAACGTTTTTGAGTTTTCTCTTGTTCTCTTTCACTTTTTGTTTTTTCGGTTTGTTTGTTGAGACAGAATCCTTGTTGAGACAGAGTCCAAAATGTCCCACAGAAGGCCTCCCAAGAAGCCTTCAAATGTACACAGAAGGTTTAAAACCTGGAGGTGTCTCCACTCAGAAGGCTGAGGCAGGAGGACCACTAGCAGTCCAAGGCCAGCTTAGGCTACATGGCAAGATTTAGTCAACAAATAAATAATCAGTAAATGGATCCAGGCAGAGTGGCACATGCCTGTAATCCCAGAACTTGGAAGGCTGAGGCAGGAGGATTGCTATATGTTTGAGGCCAACCTGGACTACAAAATGAGCTCAAGGCCAGCGTGAACTGCATGCATATCAAGACCCTGTCTCAAAAAGACAAAGAAAGAAAGAAAGAAAGAAAGAAAGAAAGAAAGAAAGAAAGAAAGAAAGAAAGAAAAAAAGAAAGAAAGAAAGCAGCTCTAGGGGGAAGTTAGAGGGGAAAGCAACGAGAAAGAGCGTCACCTAGAACTACCCAGAGCTCAAGGGCAGTAATCTTCCAGGTACAGCTCGGGCTGTTCTTGGTGAACGTTTACCCAACAGGGTTTGTGTGTAAAGGGATCTGATCTCACCCAAAAATACCAGCCTCACTGGGTCCGCAGCAGCCTGACATCGCAAAGCACTGGTTCCTTCAGGCCCAAATAGAGACAAATGAGAAGCTCTACTCTTGTGCCAGGCATTTGCACACGGTGTGAATGCGTTCATTGGATTGGCCAGAATTTCCAGAAAATACCAATTAGGAAAACACGCACGTCTGAGGAAGAATGCAAGCCTGGACTTGGCCTCTGGGAAGACTGAAGGTGGCCGGCCAGGGGGGAGCAGGGCCACCCTCGGGTGGGAGGCCCGGGGACCAACTGCTCCAGCCTTCATGAACACCAGTCAGTGTCAACGACTCTGTGAGCCCTTAACATTGCAGAGGGGCATGGACAGATGGCATTTGTGAGAACGTGAGCTAGGAGTGTGATGCGATCCTGGCTAAGCTCCCCCAGGTAGGAGCTGCTCACTCCGGGGAGCTGCTGAATGACTCGGGAAAGATGAGAGGCTACAACCCCAAACCACAGACTCCCCACCACAGGAAACCACCCATTCAGGTCAACGGGATCATCCTGCAAGTGACAGCTGACTGTCATCTCGCAAAGACCAGGAAATGAGTTTTGTGTGATCTTTTCTCCATTCTCATCTTGGCCTCCCTACAGGGGCAGCAGAGCCGACCACCATAAGGAGTTTCCGAGACAACGCGGGGACCACCGCAAAAATGCTCCGGCATTTGGGAAGAGACTGAGTGAAGGGGGAGGCCGGGGAGGGGAAAGGCCAGGACCCGGGCTGCAGGCGGCAACTCAAGGACAGGACCTTGGAAGAGGCAAGGGTTTCCTGCTTCCTCCAGGCTGGCATTAGTCTTCCTCCATCTGCGCCAAGGCTAGGGGAGAAGGCGACACCCTGATTCTGTCCCTTCCCCAGTCCCTAAGGGCTGCATCACCAAGAGAGTGCAAAACCACCAGGGAAAGGGGGCAGAGAAAAGCAGAAGAGGCGTGGCTGTGTTGTTTCCCATCACCAACAAAGCCACGCCGGAAGTGGGCAACATTCATGCTGCCACATGTGATGCTGGACCAATCAGAGACAGATGACAAATGACTTTATTTAAAATTAGGTTCTCAGCACCAAATCTGAGCTGTCTTCCTCCCCGAAGCACCCACAGGGTTTCAGGGCCATGAGGTTGTGTTGAAGCTGCTGGGCTCTGTAAATACCACGCAGGGACGGTTTCCAGCAGACAGTGCTGTGGCCAGATGCACTCAATGGAGCTCTTGGGGAGCTCCGTCCCCACGACACAGGCTTTAGCACTGGGCCCCGAGGCTTTGTCTGATGTACACAAATAATTTATCAATTCCTATGCATTTTTTTCATTTTAAAATGAAAAAAATTAAAATGATGATACAGAATTTCAAAACAAAACCATAGAGCCACTGTTCTCTAGAAATGATCTTGTTCTCTAGAAATGTGCTTGAAGTTTGCCCATGCACCTCAGAGTCCATCTAACACATGAAAAGTTAAGCCACCTTTCTTATTTCAAACAGCAGAAAACTCTGAAATACTGTTTCCAGCCATCTGGAGGAGAAAACTGCAGTGTGGCACCACCGTGCCTCCCTTTTGTACCTTTGAAATAACCAACAATAGTCAGTTCACAATGGTCAAATCTGTTCTTGATGACTTCTAAACCAGCCAGGGTTTGGCATGATGGGGTATCCTGTACCAAAAGCTGCTGGAATTTGAAACTTCAACAAAAGAAAGTCCAGAGTTTTTCCTTTGTCAGAGAAGCTCTTCTCTTAAATAAAGAATGAGATCGACAGCTTCTTATTGCAGAGATTTTTGCATACCTATAAAATGCAATTTTTAAGATGAGAGCATCAAGTAGGTTCTTTGTTTCATTTCCCAGAATTCAACGCTGAGCGAGAGATTTGCAAAATCCACCTGGGCTTTGTTCCTTCAACAGCGATGCTAAGCAGAAGCACCTAGGCTTTGGGGCGTTAACTGACGCTGTCTTCGCCATGGCTTGTGCAAATGGAATGATTCAGTGTTCCTTTGGGACCTGTGAGAGATCCATTTCATGCACCCTCCAGGATGGGACTGAGCCCACAGCAAGCGTTCTGACCCTGATTCTCTGCATCGTGCTTCCCCACGCAGCGTCCTCTGCTGAGGAAGACCTGGCAAGGGCCTTGCTGGATCCTCTTGTTATCAGATGACCAGGGACCATGAGGCCGTCCTTCCTGCAGGCTGCCCCAAAGCACTGATCACAGGGCTGCACTTCTCAAAAACCCTAGCACTGTCAGTGTTGGTAAACATTTTATTATTCTACATCTAAAATATCTTACTCTCATTCATGTTGCTTCTTTTTAATCTTCAAAGTTTAAAAATTGTGGTGACTGCTTAAGTCAGCGCAGCACAGAGAAGGCCAGCTAAAGAGAGAGCGTGGCGCGGTGCACTGTACTTGATTTGCTTCCCCGTCCGAGCCGCAGCCTTGCCTGTGGCCGGAGAACCGACTTCAGCTTCAAGGAAGGTGTCACCCGTAACCTATGCGGTGTGTTCCCCTGTGAGGGCACGGGTGTGGGCACAGGCTTTTAATGACCTTCCATGTAAATGTCAGACATGCGACTTTATTTTTGTTGCTCAAGTAAGTTTGATTTCACAGACTCCGCCATTGTGAGTGAGAGCATCTCCAAAATATCTGAAAGAGTTGTGGTTCTAATTATCTTAGAGAAACTAACAAACCTCCTGAAAATCTAATGTAGGAGAAAAGAGACCGACCCGTGCATCTCTCCACCATCCACATCGTGGCCATTATTTTTATTAATCTATTTAAAGAAAGCAGCATTGTTATTATTTTCCTTTGTCTACTTTCTTTTTTCTGTTTGTTCTTTAATAACTTCATGTTTAGATTTTTTTTTGTTATACTCTTTCATGACTATGAATTTTCCACTAGCACACCTCTAACTGAATCTCATGTTTCTGATAAGCCATAGTCTTGTGCAATGGTAGTTCATGAAGATGAATATTTAGTTAGGAATATCAGCAGACACCTCTCCTAACATACAGAAAAGGCTTGCCCATGCCAAGCAGGGAAATACAAGTCTGTATCCAGAACTTGGGAAGTTGAGGCAGGAGGACCACCACATGTCTGAGGCCATCCTGGGCTACAAAGTAAGTTCAAGACCAGCCTGAGCTTTACAGCAACACCCTGTGTGAAAAACAAACAAAAAGACATGCATAAGAATAGGGCCAATGCATATAACAAATT